ATCCACTCGTTGTTCAATAGTGCACTGTTTAATTTCCAGGTGTTTGATTTAGTTTTCTGTTTTTGTGTGTGATTTACTTCTAATTTCAGCGCATTATGGTCTGAGAAGATTGTTGATACAATCTCTACCTTCTTAATTTTATGGAGGCATGTTTTGTGGCTCAGCATGTGGTCTATCTTGGAGAATGTTCCATGTACGCTTGAGAAGAATGTGTATTCAGCTTTTTGTGGATGAAGTGTCCTGTATATATCTACTAAGTCCCTTTCTTCCATTGTTTCCCTCAAATGAAGTATGTCCTTGCTAAGCTTGAGTCTGGTTGATCTATCAAGAGGTGACAAAGCAGTGTTGAAGTCTCCCACTAGTATTGTGTTGCTATTGATGTCTTTTTCCAAATCTATGAGTAGTTGTTTTAAGTACTTTGCTGGTCTCTCATTAGGTGCATATACATTTATTATTGTAAGTTCTTCCTGTTGTACAGATCCTCTGATCAATAAGAAATGGCCTTCACTGTCTCTTATGACCTTCCTCACTCTGAAATCGATGTGGTCTGATATAAGGATGGCTACCCCAGCTTTTTTATGGGAGCTGTTTGCCTGTAGGATTGTTTTCCAGCCTTTGACTCTGAGTCTGTGTTTGCTTTGACTATTGAGATGCGTTTCTTGCAGGCAGCAGAATGTTGGGTTCAATTTTCTAATCCATCCTGCCACTCTATGTCTTTTAATTGGTGCGTTTAGCCCATTGACATTGAGAGAGATTATTGTTATGGGATTTTGTCCCATTGTTCTGTTAAAATTTGGTGTATTTGAGGGGCCTTTCTTGCCTTAAAGTAGCCCATTTAGTTGTTCTTGTAACCATGGTTTTGAGTCTATGAAGTTCCTGAGCTGTTGTTTGTCTGTGAAACTGTGTGTTGTTCCTTCTATTATGAATGAGAGTCTTGCTGGGAAAAGTATTTTTGGGGAGGCATTTATTTCATTGACTTTTTTTACTATGTCCCACCACTGTTTTCGGGCCATGAGGGTTTCATCAGAAAAATCAGCTGTGAATTTTAAGGATGCTCCTTTGTAAGAGATTTCTTTCTTCGATCTTGCTGCTTTCAGAATTTTGTCTCTGTCTAAGGTTTTGGTCATTTTGATCAGAATGTGTCTTGGGGTATTTTTATTCGGATTTCTTCTAGCTGGTACCCTTCGGGCCTCCTGAATGTGGTCACAAGTTTTCTTCAGCTCTGGAAATGTTGTAGCAATGATTTCTTTGACAGTTTCTTCTTCATCGAGGTTTTCTTCCTGTCCCTCTGGGACTCCAATAATTCTTATGTTACCCCTCTTGGCTTCATCACGATCTTCTCTTGCCATCTGTTCCCGAATTGTGAGTCTCTTTTCCATTTTCTGCTCTTTTCTGGAGAGTCTCTGAACTTCATCTTCGAGCTCACTGATTCTGTTCTCAGCCGCTGTTACTCTGCTGCTGAGGCCTTCCACTGAGCTTTTCAATTCGCCTACGAGATTTTTCAGGTCTGACATTTCTGATTGCATTTTCCTCATTTCTGCCTTCAGATCCTCTTGTCGTCTATTGGCATTGCTTTCCATTGTTTCTTTTAATTCCCTAAGCATCCTAAGTAGCTCCCTTCTGAATTCCTTGTCAGAGAGGTTGTCTAACACTACAGTACTGTTGGTGTCATCTGGGCTAGACTCTTCAATATGAAAGTTTGGAGAGCTTTTGCGTTGCTTTACCATTGTGAGAGGTGTGGTTTAGTCCTTCACGTTCACTGTTACTATTCTGCTTGATATGCAGTGTGAGTTAAGATAGGCTTATGAGTTATTGGCTACTGTGTTTCTAGTGGCTGAGCTAAAATAGAGAAGTTTCCATCTAAGAAGTTAGCTTATGGTTCCTATGGCATATGTAGTGGGAACGGCCGCGGCTCCGGAAAGAGTCCCTGGCACTGGGCGAGGAGTTGGGAACGTCTCCTGTTTGGAATTGGAGCCGTTCAGCTTTGTTGCCCAGAGCTGGGCCTCTGTGCCCGTCCCACGCAGATCAGGGGTTGAAAACCGGCTGTCTAGGGGCTGTTTCTAGCTGCGCGTGCCCAGAGAGGGACCCAGGCCCTTGGGGGCGGGCTGTACCTGTTGGAATTGGAGCCGTTCAGCTTTCTTGTCCAGAGCTGGGCCTCTGTGCCCGTCCCACGCAGATCAGGGGTTGAAAACCGGCTGTCTAGGGGCTGTTTCTAGCTGCGCGTGCCCAGAGAGGGACCCAGGCCCTTGGGGGCGGGCTGTACCTGTTGGAATTGGAGCCGTTCAGCTTTCTTGCCCAGAGCTGGGCCTCTGTGCCCGTCCCACGCAGATCAGGGGTTGAAAACCGGCTGTCTAGGGGCTGTTTCTAGCTGCGCGTGCCCAGAGAGGGACCCAGGCCCCTGGGGGCGGGCTGTACCTGTTGGAATTGGAAATTTATATGGAATTGGAAATTTATATGGAACAATAAGCCCCCACGAATAGCTAAAGCAATTCTTGGGAAAAAGAAAATGGGAGGAATCAACCTCCCTAACTTCAAACTCTACTACAAGGCAGTAATAATTAAAACAGCATGGTACTGGAACAAAAGCAGAGCTGCAGACCAATGGAACAGAGTTGAATATACTGACATTTCCTCCCAAATATATAATCATCTAATTTTTGATAAGGGGGCAAGAAAAGTGAAATGGAGCAGGGAAAGCCTCTTCAATAAACTGTGCTGGCAAAATTGGACGGCTACATGCAAAAAAGTGGGCTCAGATCTCTGCCTAACACCATGCACAAAAGTAAGATCAAAATGGATTTATGACCTCAACATCAGACCAGAATCCATAATGTTTATTGAAGACAAAGTTGGCAAAACTCTCCATGATATTGAAGCTAATGGTATCTTCAAAGATGTCACGCCACTGGCTGAGCAAGTGAAAACAGAGATAGACAAATGGGACTATCTTAAACTAAGAAGCTTCTGCACCACAAAAGAAATATTGACCAAAATACAAAGACAGCCTACAGAATGGGAAAGGATATTCACCAAGTACACATCCGACAAGGGGTTGATATCAAGGATATATAAGGTACTGGTTAAACTCCACAAGAAGAAATCACCCAACCCCATCAAAAACCGGGGTGAGGAAATGAACAGAAACTTTCGCAAAGAAGAAATTCGAATGGCAAAAAGGCACATGAGAAAATGCTCTACATCACTAATCATCAGAGAGATGCAGATCAAAACCACAATGAGATATCATTTCACACCACAGAGACTGGCCCACATCCACAAGAACAAAAGCAACCGGTGCTGGCGCGGATGTGGCGAGAAAGGGACCCTCCTTCACTGCTGGTGGGAATGCCGGCTGGTCCAACCCTTTTGGAAAACAGTATGGACGACTCTCAAAAAATTAGAATTTGATCTGCCATTTGACCCAGCTATAGCACTCCTGGGAATATATCCCAGAGAGGCAAAAAGGTATAGTCGAAGTGACATCTGCAATTGTTTGTTCATTGCAGCACTCTTTACAATAGCCAGAATCTGGAAAAAACCTGAGTGCCCAAGAACAGATGACTGGTTAAAGAAACTTTGGTACATTTACACAATGGAGTACTATGTAGCTGTTAGAAAAGATGAAGTTATGAAATTTACATACAAGTGGTACTACATGGAAAGTATCATGTTAAGCGAAATGAGTCACAAAGAGCGGGATAGACACAGAAAGATTGCATTCATCTGGGGAACATAAAGCAACAAAAAGGGAGATTAACACCCAGGAATGGCTGAGATTAGTACCAGGAATTTTGCTCCATGAATGGAAGGCCAGCCACAGGCTCTAGGTGAAAAGGAAGCTCAGATAGAGAAGAGAGCACCAAATGAAGGGTGTTGTGAGGGCCCTCCTAGGGTGGGAGAAGCATGCTAAAAGTAGTCGATAGACCAAACATGATTGCCACTCAAAGCCTCTCTTGCAAAACACAGTACCCAAAAGAAGAGAGAGAGAACAAGGGGGAATACCCTGCCACAGAGGCAGGATGGGACGGGGGGATGGGGGGGGGATGAGGGTTGCATGGGGGGATGCTGGGACCAGTGGGGATGGATGACGGGCACTGGTGGAGAGATGGGCACTTGATCATTGTATAACTGAAACCCAAGCACAAAATTTGTAAGCCTATAACTGTACCTCATGGTTTCTCACTAATAAAAAAAAGAAAAAAATTAAAAAAAATAAAAAGTTAATGAACTTTTCATGTAAAAAAAAAACACCTATGCCTATGCAGGAAGGAGCAGAAAGAACAATAGCAAATCAGCATTAATTTTTTTATGACCTCTGACCTATTGGAACACTAGTAACATTACAACATTACTTAACTAAAAACTTTTTATTTGGGGAGGGGTATAACCCGGCGATGCACAGGGGTTACTCCTGGTTCATGCACTCAGGACTAACTCCTGGTGGTGCTCAGGGGACCTATGGAATGCTAGGAATCAAATCCAGTTCAGACACGTGCAAGGCAAGCGCCCTACCTGCTGTGCTATCGCTCCAGCCCCAACCAGAGACTGGGACTATTTTTATTGTAATTTATCTGCATTCAACCACCACTGAGAATTTCAAAAGGGTACAGGCAATTCTGATGTGCCAAGTGGCCAGGAAAAAAAGACATTGCAGAATTTCTCTGCTGTGGGACGGGAGAGCTAGTACACTGAGGTGGGCGCTTGCCTTGCAAGTAGGCAAGGGATGCTCCCGGGTTCGATCCCCCCCGCATCCCATATGCTCCCTGAGCCCACCAGGAATGATTTCTGGAGGCAGAGCCAAGAATAATCTCTGACCACTGCTCAGTGTGGCCTCCTGCCCTCTCTGCTACAACCAATGACAACTTTTTTCAGAGGTGAGGGGAGGCCACATCCAGACGATGTTGGTGGCGACCATATGGTGCCAGAGATGAACCCTGGGCGCCTTGTGTGCAAAGCCTGTGGTGCTGCCCACTGAGCTCTCTCCCTACTTCCATACTAACTTCGAAGCAGACAGCCCACCGCTCCCAACATGCTGCTCCCGTATAAAAAGAAATGCGCTGGTCTGTGCCGTCCATATGGTGGCCACTGCCTGGGGGTGTGTAAGCATGTGACAAGACCATTAAGAAAAATATGGGTCTAGGGAGGTGCGGGGGGAGGTGATGAAGAGCTACTACAGGCCTGCACCCCGCACACCTCAGTTTGAACACCCAGCACCACATATGGTCCACCAGGCACAAGGGAGAAATAGCCACTGAGCACCACCGGGTGTGGCCCCCAAACCTTAAAAACATCCCACAATAACCGCAAACACTTGCAAAACTCATCAGCCCAGGGATTAGCACAGGGCTTGATTCTTGGCACCAGATGGCATCCTGAGCATTGCTGTGTATAGCCAGGAAGCAACCAATACTGCTGGTACGGCCCTCTGGGCCCCAGCACTGACCACTACTAGCCTGGTGGGCCAATAATCAGAGTGGCCCCTAGGCCCCACAGCACAGGAGGCCCGAACCCCCAACCACCAAAAATTACAAAAATACAAATTCTTACCAGCCCACATATGGCGTTAGTCAATTTATTGAATTTTTTGCTTCTGAAGTTACTTGTAGAATCATCTAATAACAAATACATGTCTGGATCTAGAAACCTTTAAACATGAGAGACTGGTGAACGAAAGAATCCTAAACACTAAATTTGTAGACTGACAATCGAAGTGAAACGAAAAAGGTTCAGCACTGCAAAGGAGACCTTAATTATAGTGAACTTACTTCTCAATTTCCTTTTCAGCTCTTTTACTCAGCAGGTCCATTTTTGTCATGATGTTAACTTGCGGGATTTCTAGAGATACCATAGCACTCAAGGCTGCCAAGATGCCAGAAATAAGCTGAAAGAGGAAGCAGAAAAGGGACAATGAATTAGTGTCACCAACAGTGTCCACATAAAAGGTTTCTGATCCCCACTGGAACAAAACCCACCTAAATCGGAGAAACGCTAAGATTGGGGCCCGAGCAAGAGTCCAGGCTTTAAGGCACTTGCCTTGCGCCTGGTCAGCCCAGGTTCTAGCCCAACGCTCCACAGGGTTCCCAGAGCACTACCTAAGTTATTCCTCAGCCCAGCGCCAGTAGTGAGCCCTGAGCACTGCCAGGCATGGCCGAACAGAAGACTGCTGGGCCAATAGCTGACCTTAGGATTCTAAAGGTGAGATGGAAAGGAGAAACTCGAGGTGTAGTGACCACACTTCTCCACTCAACAATATTTTAAAGTGTTCAGGAGGTAGCTGGGGTTGAGTTCAGCACTGAGGAAACATGTAGTGACAGGGATTAAAAGCAGGTGGGCCACATCAAGGCGAGCACCTTAAGCCCTGTACTATTTTTTTGGGGGGGGTAATTACTGGCAATGCACAGGGGTTACTCCCAGCTTTGCACTCAGAAATTACTCCTAGTGGTGCTCTGGGATGCTAGGAATCGAACCTGGATTGGCTGTATGCAAGGCCCTACCCGCTGTACTATCACTCCAGCCCCCATTTTTTAAAATTTACTTATTTATTTGGAGGTCTTCGGCTGCCGGAGCCCTGGTCGGGGCGGGGAGGAAAGCTCAACCCGCTCCCCTCCAAGGGACCCCGGCGAGGAACAGCCAGGCGCAGGGGCAGGAGACTGACTGCACTGGTCTCGTCCGGGAGCTGCATTTTGTAGTCTCTGAGTCTTGGCCGCTGATGGGATTACACGGCGCCAGGGGGCCAGGTGGTGGGTGTGACCCCCGCCTACTGGAATTTGGAGGATCTGGGTGGAGGATGCTCGACTCCAATTCGAGTAGGCTTGGAGATCTCGGCCCCGGAACCCGCGTGGCTTTGTCCCTCTGCCAGTACCTTCATGTGTAATCCCATCAGCGGCCAAGACTCAGAGACTACAAAATGCAGCTCCCGGACGAGACCAGTGCAGTCAGTCTCCTGCCCCTGTGCCTGGCTGTTCCTCGCTGGGGTCCCTTGGAGGGGAGCGGGTTGAGCTTTCCTCCCCGCCCCGACCAGGGCTCCGGCAGCCGAAGACCTCCAGGACCAGCCACCACCATGCTGAGACCACTCTGCGCACACATGAAGGTACTGGCAGAGGGACAAAGCCACGCGGGTTCCGGGGCCGAGATCTCCAAGCCTACTCGAATTGGAGTCGAGCATCCTCCACCCAGATCCTCCAAATTCCAGTAGGCGGGGGTCACACCCACCACCTGGCCCCCTGGCGCCGTGTAATCCCATCAGCGGCCAAGACTCAGAGACTACAAAATGCAGCTCCCGGAACCGCGTGGCCGCGTTTGCGGCCGCGCGACATCTTATCTGAACATCTTTTTATGATATCTCATTATCTCATTCCTACTCTGGACAAACTTGCAGTCTATCGAATATAGCCTGCCCACAGGGCAGAGTCTGGCAAACTCCCCGTGGCGCACCAAATATGCCAAATACCAGTAACAATGATGGGTCTCATTCTCCTAAAAAGCCTTGAATATAATCTCAGGGCTAGGATGAAAGAGACGTTACTGGGGCCTGCTCGAGGCAATCGACGATTAACAGGATGATGAATGAATGAATGAAATGATTAACTTATTTATTTATTTTTGGGAAGCGCTTTACTATTTCTGACTCTTTAACGTTATCTTCTCTCATGCTCCCTCTCCACCTCCCCTGATGGGTGTTTCCTTTTGGGTTTCTGGGTCACACAATCCCCTGATATTACTAAGGGGTCACTTCTGGCTCTGCACTCAGGAGTTACTCCTCAGCAGCTTGGGGAACCACCTGGAGTGCTGGAGACAGAACCAAACGGCCTCCCTTTCAGTTTTGGGGAATACCCAGTAGTACTCTGAGCTTTGTGGTCAAGGATCACTCCTGGAGGGGCTCGGGGGCCGGTGGCAGCATGGCAGGAATGACACCCAGGCTGGCCACATGCAAGGCAAGAGCTCTACCCACTGTACTATCTCTCTAGCATCCAGCTTTTTTTTTTCTAGTTTTGGAGCCTCTTGGGACTTACTGTGGTGCTTGGGACTTCTGACACCGCCCTGGGACGACTCCTGAAGGTGACTGCTGAGAGTTGGGGACCACTGGAACTACACTGAACAGTGAACAAGGGGCAAACTCAGGGCCTCAAACATGCAGGCTCTGTGCTCTGCCACTGGAGCCATCTTCTTAGCATATTAATTTAACAAACATAAGTTTCAAGTCACTCCTGGGTATAGTTCATGAACTGTTAACAATTAAACGATTATGACTAAAGGTATTTGTACACTGCTTGTGCCGGAGACTGAAAATCAAGGACAGGTATAGTTTCAAACCTTGAACGACTCCACCATGAATTGAGAATCAACAAGAAACACTCCACAGACTCGGAACTCCCACTGTTCCAGCTGCTGAACCAGCTGTTTCATCACGGGCAGGTGTGTGTACAACTCGATCTGACCGACAAGAACACAAGCTTATTATAAACATAAAATACATTCAACCCTCAATTATGGGAAAAAACTTTTCCCAGAAACTGTCTTTGGGGGCTTGAGAGATAGTATAGAGGGTGGGAACTTGCCTTGCACACAGCCAACCTGGGTTCGATCCCATAGGGTCCCTTGAGCATAGCCAGGAGTAATTCCTGAGCACAGGAGCTAGGAGTAACCCCTGAGCATCATCAGATATGGCACCCGCGGTCCCCCCCCAAATTTTTTTAAAGGAAGTCAATCCCTACAAGTAATATATCCAATTTTGCTTGTTTTAAGCCACACGTGGGGATGCTTAAGGGTCTCTCTGAAACTTCTGGGAGGGCTCGAGGCTACTCAGAGTCCTACATGCAAAGCCTACTACATGCAAGGCCCACTACATGTAAAGAATGTCCCCAGCCCACTATCTCTCTAGCCCCGATACTATATTCAAATTTTTTTTTGGGGGGGGGGCAACCTGATTGTGCTCAGGGCTTATTCCTGATTCTGTGCTCAGGGATGACTGTTGACAGACTCCAGTAACCATATAGGGTAGCAGGGATCACCTTAGCTGTGTTCAAGGCAAGTGCCCTACCCACTGTAGTATCTCTCTGGGTCCCCCAATATTTTTTTTTTCATTTTGGGTCACACCTGGTGATGCGCAGGGGTTACTTCTGGCACTGAATTCAGGAATTACTCCAGGCAGTGCTTGGGGGACCATATGGGATGCTGGGGTTCCGGGTCAGCTGCATGCAAGGCAAACGCCAAACCCATTGTACTATCACACCAGCTCCCCTTGCCCCCCACGGAATTCTTTAAGCAACTCTGGGTGCACATGTATTAAAGGGGCATACAAAGAAAATATACTGTCATCATCATCATCACTGTTCTCCTGTTCATCGATTTGTTCGAGCAGGCCACATCTCCATTGTGACAATTGTTCCTGTATTTGGCATATCGAATATGTCACGAGGAGCTTGCCAGGCTCTGTTGTGCAGGTGATACTCTTTGGTAGCTTGCCGGGCTCTCTAGGAGGGGCAGAGGAATTGAACCCGAGTCAGCCATGTTGGCTGGTTGCACTACAATTATTAAAAATGAGTTTAAAATGGCTGGAGTGATAGCTCAGTGGTAGGGCATTTTCCATGCACGCAGCAGGCCCGGCCAAACAGGGTTCAACTCCTCTGCCCCTCTCGGAGAGCCCGGCAAGCTACCGAGAGTATATTGCCCACATGGCAAAGCCTGTCAAGCTACCTGTGACGTATTCGATATGACAAACACAGTAACAACAAGTCTCACGATGGAGAAGTTACTGGGCCTGCTCAAGCAAATAAATGAACAGCGGGAGGACAGCCACAGGGATTTCATTTATTTATTTATTTACTATTATTAATATTATTATTATTATTATTTTATTATTATTATTATTTTGCTTGTTGGGTCACACCCGGAAATGGTCAGGGGTTACTCCTGCATCTGCACTCAGGAACCACTCCTGGCGGTGCTCAGGGGACCATATGGGATAATGGGATTCGAACCTGGGTCGGGCACGTGCAAGGCAAACGCCCCACCCACTGTGCTATCGCATCGCTCCAGCCCCGACAATGACAGATTTTAAAACAATTTTTTATTCTCTTATTTTGAGGGGAGGAGGCTTGGGCCACACCCACTAGTATTCTGGGAGGATTCCTGACTCTGTACTAAAAATAACTCCTGGCAGTGCTTGGGGGATCCTATGTGGTACCAGGGATCCAAACTTGGGCTGGCAGAAAGTAAAGCAAGGGCTTTAGCTGCTGTACTATGGTCCTAAAAAAAAAAACCCCCAAAAAAAACCTTGGTTTTGGCTCATACCCACTAGTATTCATGGAACCATATATGGTGCCAAGGACTGAACCTGTGTCTGCCGCAGCATCCTACCCATCCTTCAGTCACTCTAGCTCTAAAGCAAACCTTTCAAGAGCTGCAGTGATAGCACAGCAGGTAGGGCATCTGCCTTGCACGCAGCCGACCGGGGTTCGATTCTGAGCATCCCATATGGTCCCCTGAGCACTGCCAGGAGTGATTCCTGAGTGCAAAGCCAGGAGTAACTCCTGAGCATCGCCAGGTGAGACCCATAAAGCAAAATAATAATAACAATGATAATAATAATAATAATAATAATAAGCTGCATGACCTGGGGCCCAAGAAACAACAGGCTGAGCATATGCTCTGCATACAAAAAGCCTGGCTCAGTTCCCAGCATACTTTGGTCCCCCAAGCAGGACTGGGAGCAACCTCCTGATAATGGAGTTAGGAACAGCTCCAGCCCCCAGCACCTCTAGATGTGGCCCCGAAACAGAAGAAAACAAAAAGACATTCCACAGTCCCTCATGGGATGACTGTCCACTGTCCAAGAATCTGGGATAAAAGTAAATGAGATGCTAATTTCACTTTCTCCCACCAAGGACAGAACTGCACAACCCAGGGAAGGTGACAATCTAATTACTGAGCTACCTGGACAGTCAAAAAGGATGTAGTCATCCTCGACATGGCCAAGGCAGTTCTCCAGCCACTCAAAGTTATTGGCAAAGTTCTCCATGCAAAAAACCAGTCCTCCATTGGGACCGAAGCGCAGGGAGCCTTCCTCCATCACATCATCCACATTGATCAGTTCCCGGATGTCTGCATAGAATAAACAGGAAATAAGTGCCCATTCCAAAATATTTACATTCACTAGTAATTATTACAACTGTGACTGTATCCAAAAAAATCGAACAGGGGCTAGAAAGAAAAAACAAGAAACAAAAACAAAAAGACACCAAACAGGGGCCTGAGGAATAGAACAGCGGGTACTGCCCTTGTCTTGCCTGTGGACAACCCAGGTTCAATCCTTGGCACCTTAAATAGTTGCTCAGCCTGACCAGGAGTGATTCCTGAGCACAGGTCCAGAAGTACTGAACATAGCTGAGTGTGGCCCAAACCCCACCCCACCCATCAATAAAAGAAAAAAAAAATAAAACAAATAAATTACAGTAGTCAAGGGATCAGTCTGAACGAAGTTTTCAGCTTCTGTGCCTCCCCAGAAGCAGGGGGCAGCACTCACTGCCTCAGGGCCCCCAAGGAGAGGGAAGGCTGCGCCCGGGACTCACCAGCCATCACATCATAGTTGAAATGCTCTGCCGCGGGGTCTAAGTTCACCACCTGGACAGAACGGCCGAGGGCTTCACAGAGCTGGACCATGGTGGCACAGTAGGTGCTCTGTGGACCGGGAGGCAGGAGGGGACAGAGCTTCAGGCAGACCCCACACCACCAGACGAACCCCCACAGCCCCTTGTCAGTGTCTGCTGAGGCCCAAACTAAGCCTTAATCCCCGGGACTGGGCAGAACACCATGCAGTGCAGATCCAGCCCTACCTTGGCCACACTGACCTCGGGCCAGCGGCCTCTTCCCGGCCAGTGTCCTTATCCCTGGGAGATGGTCTCCTCACTGCTATCAGGTGCGCTAAGTATGACTGAAAGGGAAGATTTCTCCCCCGCCCTTGATTTTGGGGCCACAGCCAGCGGTATTTAGAGAGGTCTACATCGTTTGGAGATCAAAGCCAGATTGGGTGTGTGCAAGGCCCTGCATGCTCAACCTTTCTGGATTCAATTTCTCTTTGCAAATGAGAATAGGGTCTGGAGCGTAGCACAGCGGCCAGGGAGTTTGCCTTGCACTCAGCTGACCCGGGTTCGATTCCCAGCATCCCCAGCATCCCATATGGTCCCCAAGCACCGCCAGGAGTGATTCCTTAGTGCAAAGCCAGGAGTATCCCCTGGGTAGTGCCAGGTATGATCCAAAAACAAAGGCTGTGGAACTAAAGGGGCCCTGGTGTGGGGACACGGAGAGTCCAGAGAGCAGGACACTCCCCTCGCACAAGGCTGTCTCTCTTTCAATCCCTGGACCATCCTGGAAGCCTGCCAGGAGTGATCCCTGAGCACAGAGCCAGGAGTCAGCCCTGAGCACCACTGGATGTGATCCCAAAAGCAAAAATATGCGGGAGCTCATACTCCAAAAATACTGTACCCCGTTTGACAGGATTCAAAGTAGCAGGCAACCAATCTTAGAGGGAAATATATATATATATTTTTTACATACACACACATATATACTTTATATATGTATATATATATATATATATATATATATATATATATACACACAAGGTTCAACCTTTTACAACATGTTAGTGATCCTTATTGAAGGGCTCAATGGCCCCTGGGTAGAATACACACTCTTTCCTCTAAGGATACTTTTTTTTATAGGATTTTCAGAGATTTTTTTTTGTTGTTGTTTGTTTTTGGGTAACACCTGCCGATGCACAGGAATTTCCCCTGGCTCTGCACTCAGGAATTATCCCTGGCTAATGGTGCTCAGGGGACCATATAGGATGCTTGGAATCGAACCCAGTTTCGCCGCGTGCAAGGCAAACGTCCTACCCACTGTGCTATCACTTCAGCGCCCTGGCAGTTTTTCATATCAAGCAATACAAGAGAATAGATTCTTTGAGTTCTGCTTTGGGACAGGGATTGGGGTTTGGGATGGAACTATGCGAAATATGGTGGTGAGAAGGTGTAATGGTGGTGGGATTGGAGTCTGAATATTGAATGTAATCAAATATTGTAAAAAACTTTATAAAATAAAAAAATTTGGGGGTTGGAGCGATATGACAGCTGGCAGGGCATTTGCCTTGCAAGTGGCCGGCAAGGTTCGATTCACAGCATCCCCAATGGTCCTCTGAACACCACCAGGAGTAATTCCTGAGTGCAGAGCCAGGAGGAACCCCTGGGCATCACCGGGTGTGACCCAAAAAGCAAAAGGAAATAATAATAATACTAATTATAATTTTAAAATATGAGGGTGGTAACGAATAAGTTATTTCGCAATAAACACTCTCTGCTCTTCCCCCAGAGCCCTGGCCGCCCAGCCCCCACAAACTCCCATTTTCTTTTTTTTCTTAAATTTAATTTCATTTTTAAAATATTTAATTTTTTTAATTTTTCCATTTAAAATTTTTTTTAATTTTTTACTATCTTTTTTTTTATTAGTGAAACACCATGAGGTACAGTTGTAGATTTACAATTTTTTGTGCTTGGGTTTCGATTATACAATGATCAGATACCCATCCCTTCACCAGTGCCCATTTTCCACCACCATGGATAATAACCCCCCCACCCCCATGCCCCCATCCCCCCCACCTCTCTGGCAGGGCAATCCCCTGTGTTCTCTCTCTCCTTTTGGGTGTTGTGGTCTGCAAAAGAGGCATTGAGTGGCAAACATGTTCAGTCCATAGTCTACTTTCGACATGCATCTCCCCTCCTGGGAGGATCCTCCAAACACCCTTTATTTGGTGCTCCCTTCTCTATCTGAACTGCCCTTTCCTCTAGAATACCCGGCTGGCCTCTATCCTCCTGGTGCTGATCTCAGCTATTCTTGGGTATTAATCTCATACTTTGTTACTTTATATCCCCCAGATGAATGCAATCTTTCTATGTCTATCCCTCTCTTTCTGACTCATTTCGCTTAGCATGATACTTTCCATATTGTACCACTTGTATGTAAATTTCATGACTTCATCTTTTCTAAGAGCTACATAGTACTCCATTGTGTAGATGTACCAAAGTTTCTTTAACCAGTCATCTGTTCTTGGGCATTCAGGTTTCTTCCAGTTTCTGGCTATTGTAAAGAGTGCTGCAATGAACAAACAAGTGCAGATGTCACTTCGACTATACATTTTTGCCTCTCTGGGATATATTCCCAGGAGTGGTATTGCTGGGTCAAAGTGATCAAAGTAGAGAGAGAGAGTAATGTGATCAAAGTAGAGAGAAAGAGTAATGTGTAAATCATCTGCCCCACAGGTATAGGGAGGGTATGGGATGGGGGTATATTGGGGATTTTGGTAGTGGAGAGTGGGCACTAGTGAAGGTACGGGTGTTTCATTGCATGACTGAGACTTAGACCCGAAAGCTTTGTAACTGCTCTCACGGTGATTCAATAAAGACAATGATAAAAAGAGAAAAAAAGAGAGTAAGGTGGAATTCATGCCCAATTCAATCACCTAATCAGTGGCCGAATAAATAGCACTACACCTACATTTAAGAAAAAAGGAAAATAACATTTTAGCAGCACATTCTTTCAAGTGGCTGCTCCCTGCTGTCCCCAGGGTCTTGAGTTCACCACATGAACAGAACTTGTGGGAACAGGGAGAGCAGCAGCAGCCCAGAGGGGGCTGCACAGAGAGCAAGCCCTGCTGCAGGGCCACAGCTGACCTGTCCTTGCTGTGATGCGCTCGGTGACATCACCGACCTCTCTTTGTGATGCAACCAGACATTCTGCAGCCTCCCCAACTGCCCCCATACTCATTACTTGGTTCACTGCGGAAACGCATAGACAGCAAACATGTTTTGCTGTTTACCAAGAAATCGTGGTTGTAAAACCCCCAAGTGTAGGACACTGAAAATATTCAGAAACTGGGTGAGGACCCATTGGAGAACTCCCCGGAATTCTTCACGAAGGCAGCCGCTAGTTCAGGTCAGCAGGAACTGGCCCGGGCAGCCCAGCACTGATGCCCGTGATCAGTCTTCATCACCTCCCTGAGTGTGATGGCGCAGACGCTGTGTATGTGGAAGAGTGTGCACACCCGGGTGTGAACGTGTTTATCGGAGAGAGTAAATTTGAGTGTGTACTGGAGATGGTGTGTGTGTGTGAGTATGTGTATTTGTGTATGTACGTGTGTCTGTGTGTGTGTTGTGAGATCATCTTGAGGGCAGCCTCTCCTACCAGGTGAGTCATCAAATCTAGCCCCCAAGGCCAGGTCACTGCTCACTGAGTTGGCACTAGGAGGTGCTCTTGGGCCAAGACTTTTCTAAACTTGATTGTTTCAATCCCATTCCTATGGGAGGCCTGTGTAGATGCAGGTCCACCAGCAGGGAGGAACTCAGAAGGGAGGGGGAAGCAGCGCTTCTGGAGCTGAGCCTTTGTGGTTCTCCCTCCGCAGAGCAGCCCACAGGAGAGAGAGACGCTCCCTCCGCAGAGCAGCCCACAGGAGAGAAAGAAGATCTTCTACATATCCTCTGGGTCCAGTTCCTCTGAAGAAAGTCTGGAATCAGCCAGCACCAAGCAGAGCCAGACACCATCTAAGCAGAAAGTTGAGATTGGCCAAGGATTGTCAACTCCCCAAAGAGCACCGCGTTCAGTGCCTTGGCCTTACACATATGGCAGAGAACGAGACTCAGAGCACCAGAAGAAAACGGGTAAGAACCAAGGGGTGTGTGTATATGCACAAGTAAAAGGGGAAAGGGAAAAGGCCCACCTAGAGGTGTCCTGGGCGCTGGTGTGGGAAAGGAGAGTCACAGGCCGGAGAGCCTATTCTGGGGAGGCCTCCACAGGAAATCACCGTGAGGTGGGTCCATGGTCTCCCCTTCCTGCTGGGCTCCCTGTTGGGGTCAGCTTTGGAGAATCCATGGAAGGAGCCCTCTGGGTGACCTTTTCTCTTATTGATTCTTTAGCTCCAGCTCTGAAAGCATACTTGGCTCCGTGTCGAAGGACAGCGCCGTCAATGATCTCTCCAGTACCAGCTGCACGGCCACCTGCTGTGGCAACATTGGACCAGTTCCCAGAGGACCTAGCATGGTTACAACTGGAAGAAGCCCAGGGTCTCACATCAGTGTCTCTCTCTGGAGACCCTCCCACCAATGAGTATCTTGCCTCGGTATATTTTATGATTTTTATTCTTTGTTTTTACTTTATCTGTTATATTTTCATTTAAATAAATTGTGATTGCTACTCTTCACAAGCATCCAGTTGCATTTTTTTTTCTTTTTCTTTTTTTGGTTTTTGGGTCACACCCAGAGAGCACAGGTGTTACTCCTGCCTCTTTACTCAGGAATTACTCCTGGCGACGCTTGGTGGACCATATGGGATGTTGGTAATCGAACCCAGGTCTGTCGCGTGCAAGGGAAACGCCCTACCTACTATGCTATCCCTCCAGCCCCGCATCCAGTTGCATCGTAACATACTCTTCATTTGTTCTGGCATTCTTGAAAATATTCATCTAACATAGAAGACGATTCTTCTTCATGTTCCTGATATAAATGAAACACAAAATAGAAAATACATTGATTTCTCCGCAGACCCAGTGTGTATATACCTACTGTTCAGGCAATGCTCTATAATACCCAGAGGTAGTGCTGATAGATATTCATGAACAAAATTGGGGCGAACGAGACAGCACAGGGGGTGGGGCACCACCCTGAACAGGGGGCACAAAGCACCATCAGGTTCTGGAGCATAAAAGGCAGCAAATGCGCAACCAGGGTTTTGGTTACTCTTTGTTTTTTTTGGTTTTCAGTTCCTGAGCCACACCCAGAGATCAGCCAGAACGGGCCAGGTTCTTGCTGCCCCCGAGACTTTAACTTAAGGAGCTGCTTAGATCAAACAGGAGGGCAGAGGTGTTCAGGGCAATCCTGGCTCTGTGCTCGGGGACCAGACATGAAATGGGGAACTGACCCAGCGTCAGCCTAGGGGAGGCAGAGAATGGTCTTTCCCTCTGCGCCGTTCTCTGGCTCTGGCAAATCTAAAAGGTAAAAGGTAAAGGCCCTCCCGTTGATTGTCGATTTGCTCGAGCGGGCCCAGTAACGTCTCCATTGGAGACTTTGTTGTTACTGTGTCTGGCATATCGAATACTCTCGGTAGCTTGCCGGGCTCTCCGAGATGGGCGGAGGAATCGAACTCGGGTCGGCCATGTTGGCCGCTTGTAAGGCGAACGCCCTACCCGCTGTGCTATCGCTCCAGCCCTCGGCAAATCTAAATCGTCAGAAATTACCTTGGGTTCCTTGAATTCCAAGTCTTCTCCGTACTGAATGTCAAAATCAATATGCTGTAATACAATGTTCCCGCTTTCTTCTCTGACTGATCGTAAGGCAAAAATCGGACCATGCTGTAGTCATCAATCTACAAATTAGAGATTTCAGAAAGGTCATTCAACTGACGCTTGAGTGTGAACATTGGTAGTCTAATTAAAACCATCTATGCCTGTGCAGGGAGGAGCAGACAGAACAACAGCAAATCAGCATTAATTTTTTTATGACCTCTGACCTATTGGAACACTAGTAACATTACAACATTACTTAACTAAAGACTTTTTTTTTAATTTTTGGGTTATACCTGGTAATGCACAGGGGTTACTCCTGGTTCATGTACTCAGGAATAACTCCTGGTGGTGCTCAGGGGACCTATGGATGCTAGGAATCAAACCCGGGTCGGATGCATGCAACGCATACACTCTACCTGCTGTGCCAGCCCCGACCAGAAACTGAGAATTCTTTTAAAGTAATTTATCTGCATTCAACAACCACTGAAAATTTCAAAAGGGTACAGGCAATTCTGATGTGCCAAGTGGCCAGGAAAAAAAGACATTGCAGAATTTCTCTGCTGTGGGACAAGAGAGCTAGTACACCAAGGTGGGCGCTTGCCTTGCACGTAGGCAAGGGATGCTCCCGGGTTCGATCCCCCGCATCCCGTATGCTCCCTGAGCCCACCAGGAATGATATCTGGAGGCACAGCCAAGAATAAACTCTGACCACTGCTCAGTGTGGCCTCCTGCCCTCTCTGCTACAACCAATGACAACATTTTTCAGAGGTGAGGGGAGGCCGCATCCAGACAACGCTGGTGGCGACCATATGGTGCCAGAGATTAACCCTCGGCCCCTTGTGTGCAAAGTCTGTGGTGCTGCCCACTGAGCTCTCTCCCTACTTCTATACTAACTTCGAAGCAGACAGCCCACCGCTCCCAACATGCTGCTCCCCTAAAGAGAAATGCGCTGGTCTGTGCCGTCCATATGGTGGCCACTGCCTGGGGGTGTGTAAGCATGTGACAAGACGATTAAGAAGAATATGGGTCTAGGGGGGTTCGCGGGAGGTGAGGAAGAGCTAAGACAGGGCTTACAATTGTCCTGCACCCCACACACCTCAGTTTGAACACCCAGCACCACATATGGTCCACCAGGCACAGGGGAGAAACAGCCCCTGAGCACAACCGGGTGTGGCCCCAAAACTTTAAAAACAACCCACAACAACCCCAAACACTTACAAAACTCATCAGCCCAGGGATTAGCACAGGGCTTGATTCTTGGCTCCAGATGGCATCCTGAGCATTGCTGGGTACAGCCAGGAAGCAACCAATACTGCTGGTTCGGCCCTCTGGGCCCTAGCACTGACCACTACTAGCCTGGTGGGCCAATAATCAGAAAGACCCCCAGGCCCCCCAGCACAGGAGGCCCGCACCCCCAACCACCAAAAATTGTAAAAATACAAAATCTTACCAGCCCACATATGGCGTTAGTCAATTTATTGAATTTTTTGCTTCTGACGTTACTTGTAGAATCATCTAATAAAGAATACATGTCTCGATCTAGAAACCTTTAAACTTTTGAGACTGGTGAATGAAAGAATCCTAAACACTAAATTTGTAGACTGACAATCGAATTGAAACAAAAGAGTTTCAGCACTGCAAATGTGACATTAATTATTGTGAACTTACTTCTCAATTTCCTTTTTAGCTCTTTTACTCAGCAGGTCCATTTTTGACATGATGTTAACTTGCGGGATTTCTAGAGATACCATAGCACTCAGGCTGCCAAGATGCCAGAAATAAGCTGAAAGAGGAAGGAGGAAAGGGACGATGAATCGGTTGTCACCAACAGTGTCCACATAAAAGGTTTCTGATCCCCACTGGAACAAAACCCACCGAAATACGAGAAACGCTAAGATTGGAGCCCAAGCAAGAGTCCAGGCTTTAAGGCACTTGCCTTGCGCCTGGTCAGCCCAGGTTCTAGCCCAGCACTCCACAGGGTTCCCAGAGCACTACCTAAGTGATTCCTCAGCCCAGCGCCAGTAGTCAGCCCTGAGCACTGCCAGGCTGGGCCTAACAGAAGACTGCTGAGCCAATAGTAGACCTTAGGATTTTAAAGGTGACATGGGAAGGAGAAATGCGATCTATAGTGACCACACTTCTCCATTCAACAATATTTTAAAGTGTTCAGGAGGTAGGTGGGGTTGAGTTCAGTACTGAGGAAACATGTAGTGACAGGGATTAAAAGCAGGTGGGCCACATCAAGGCGAACTCCATAAGCCCTTTACTATTTTTTTTTTTGGGAAGGGAAGGGTGGTAATACCTGGCAATGCAGAGGGGTTACTCCTGGCTCTGCAGTCAGGAATTACTCCTACTGGTGCTGAGGCATGCTAGGAATCGAACCCAGATTGGCTGTGTGCAAGGCCCTACCAGCTGTATTATCACTCCAGCTCCCATTTTTTAAATTTACTTATTTATTTATTTTTGGGAAGCCCTGTACTATTTCTGACCCTTTAACGTTATCTTCTCTCATGCTCCCTCTCCACCTCACCTGATGGGTATTTCCTTTTGGGTTTCTGGGTCACACAATCCCCTGATATAACTAGTGGGTCACTTCGGCTTCTGCACTAAGGAGTTATTCCTGACCAGCTTTGGGAACCATATGGGTGCTGGAGACGGAACCAAACGCCCTCCCTTTCAGTTTTGGGGAATACCTAGTAGTACTCTGAGCTTTGTGGTCAAGGATCACTCCTGGAGCGGCTAAGGGGGCCCAGTGGCAGTACGGCAGGAATGACACCCAGACTGGCCACATGCAAGGCAAGAGCTCTACCCACTGTACTAGCTCTCTAGCATCCAGCATTTTTTTTTCTAGTCTGGAGCCACACACAGTGGTGCTTGGGACTTACTTCTGATACCGCCCTGGGACGACTCCTGAAGGCGACAGCTGAGAGTTGGGGACCACTAGAACTACACTGAACAGTGCACAAGGGTCAAACATGGCCTCTAACATGCCAGCTCTGTGCTCTGCCACTGGATCCATCTTCTTAGCATATTAATTTAACAAACATAAGTTCTAAGTCACTCCTGGGTATAGTTCATGAACTGTTAAGAATTATATGACTATGACTAAAGGTATTTGTACTCTGTTTGTGCCGGAGACTGAAAAATCAAGGACAGGTATAGTTTCAAACCTTGAACGACTCCACCATGAATTGAGAATCAATGAGAAACACTCCACAGACTCGGAACTCCCACTGTTCCAGCTGCTGAACCAGCTGTTTCATCACGGGCAGGTTTGTGTACAACTCGATCTGACCGCCAAGAACACAAGCTTATTATGAGCATGAAATACATTCAACCCTCAATTATGGGATAAAAACTTTTCCCGGAAACTGTTTTAGAGGGCTTGAGAGATAGTATAGAGGGTGGGAACTTGCCTTGCACACAGCCAACCTGGGTTCGATCCCATAGGGTCCCTTGAGCACAGCCAGGAGTAATTCCTGAGCACAGGAGCTAGGAGTAACCCCTGAGCTTCATCAGATACGGCACCTGCGGTGCCCCCCAAATTTTTTAAAGGAAGTCAATCCCTACAAGTAATATATTCAATTTTGCTTGTTTTAAGCCAGACTTGGGGATGCTTGAGGGTCTCTCCGAAACTGCTGGGAGGGCTCGAGGCTACTCAGAGTCCTACATGCAAGGCCCATTACATGTAAAGCATGTCCCCAGCCCACTATATCTCTAGCCCCTATACTATATTCAATTTTTGTTTTTTTTTGGGGG